ACCAGCTTTACCGCCGGAGGGGAATTAATTCCTCTGAAAAGCAGAGAAAACCACACTTGCCGGGCCGGGTAGGGTAGCGAAACGGATTCTGCTTGAGAGACCTAAGATAAGTTGATGGTTGATAGGAAAGCGTACCCACGGAGAAGAAAAATAAAACTGTGTGGTAGGGAGACTGGGGACTGGGAGAGGATGTGCTCTAATGACTCGAGGATGTGAAGAACCAGAACGGACAACCTCTAGAGTCTGGAGGATAAAGTTGACCCATGTGTCATGATGGGGGTCTTGGGGTTGTAGCCCTGGGTTGGATCCCCAGCACCAAAAAAGGAGGAAAAGGCCTGTTCCTAGGCTTGTCTATTCAGTCCCATGTTGAATCTCCGGGCAGCACTCTTTGGTACTGCCTTTTGAGGCATTTGCACATGGAGACAGTTAACTGATGGTTAACATTGGGTAGTCTGAAGTCAGAGTTTTATGTGAGTCCTAACTCCTGCACCTGCCAGCAGTGAGACATTGAACAAGACATTTAGCCTTTCTAAGTTACTATTTTCCCTTTTAATAAAACAGGGAACTTTACCTCCCTCAACAAATTGAGGTCATTCTTGTAAATAGGTTTTCACTGTACCTGGTGTATGTTAGTCACTTACATTTTATGTTTCTTAGCCATTTTTATTGGAGCTTCACAGCTGCCCTTTAAAGAAAGCTGTTGTCAAGGATGGGGTATCTTTCTGAGCTGGTCTGTGCCTCTCCATCCTCCTGTGTCAGCCTCCCAGTCCTAGGAATATAGGTGTGTGTTACCACACACACAAACACACACACAGCTTGTCTTTTTTTGTTGTTGTTGTTTTTGTTTTTTTTTTTTTTTTGTTTTTGAGACAGGGTTTCTTTTTTTGTTTGTTTTTTGTTTTTTTTTTTTTTTTGTTTTTGAGACAGGGTTTCTTTTTTTGTTTGTTTTTTGTTTTTTTGTTTGTTTTATTTTCGAGACAGGGTTTCTCTGTGGCTTTGGAGGCTGTCCTGGAACTAGCTCTTGTAGACCAGGCTGGTCTCGAACTCACAGAAATCCACCTGCCTTTACCTCCCGAGTGCTGGGATTAAAGGCGTGTGCCACCAACGCCTGGCCACATGGCTTGTCTTTACCCTTTAAAATATGTATATTTATGTGTAAAGAGTTTGTTTATTTTATGAGTATGGGTGTTTTCCCTGCAGTTTATATTTGCAGTGTATATGCTCCTGCCTGAGAAGGCCAGACGAGAGCATCAGATCCCTGGTACTGGAGTTACAGATGGCTGTGAACTGTCGTCTGGGTGCTGGGAATCAAACCCAAGTCATCAGGACGAGCCAGCTCTCTAGCCCTTTTAAAGATGACAAAGTTAGCTGAGCAGTGGTGGCACACGCCTTTAATCCCAACACGTGGCAGCAGAGGCAGGTGGGTCTATGAGGACAGCCTTGTCTACAGAGTGAGTTCCAGGACAGCTAGGGCTACATAGGATTCAAACAAACAAACCAACAGAAAAAGACAAAGCTAAAAGTTCAGAGGGAAGAAGCACTGAATTTAAAATCATAGTAAGTGACAAAGGAGCACTAGAGCCCATACATCCTCACTGTCATCTGTCCCGATTGTTCAGGACACCAAAGTTTTTTTCTTTTTTTTTTAGACTAGAACTCATCTTGGCCTTTGATTGTTCAGAGAGATGATGAGTCCAGACAGAAGTAGATAGTGAGGATGCTATTGCAGGCCTAGTGTCAATACTGCTTCCCTTTAGGAAGAGAGGAAAACCAGGAGCTGGTCTTCTTTTATCAGCTCTCCTCTAATAAGTGAGCAGAAGGCAGACTTGGCTTGGCTGGAGTCTACAGAGGATTCGTAGGACCAGATAAGCTATTGCCTTTTCTGGGGTGTGACCCATCCTGTTCATTTTACTCTTCCAGACCGTCAATGTGTGGTACTCTGTGAATGGCGAGAGGCTGGGCACCTACATTGGCCATGGTGGAGCTGTGTGGTGTGTTGATGCTGACTGTATCCTTTTTGCTGTGGGTCGGCCAGCCTTCGAGATGCTGACCGTGAGGTTGACATGTTTTGGTGCTCTGGAGAGTAAGGTTCCCTACTCCCAGGTAACTCATTAGTTGGGGAAACGGGACACATTTTAAGTTCTGGATTGAAGGTCAGGACACTCTGAGGTAAGAGAGAGATGAAGGCCCTTTGGGCTGAACTGGGAGATGCTTTAGATGGCTTCCAGGAGAACATGGGCTTAGTCATTTTGTGTGTGCGCGTGCATGCATGTAATGAATCTGTATTGTATACTGGCCCAATGTCAGCGTCAGGTATCTTCTTCAATCACTCTTTAAACTCTCTTATTTATTTGTTTGTTTTTTCAAGACAGGATTTCTCTGTATTGCTTTGGATTCTGTCCTGGAACTCGCTCTGGAGACCAGGCTGGCCTCAAACTCACAGAGATCACCTGTCTCTCTGCCTCCTGAGTGCTGGGACTAAAGGCGTGTGTCCCCACTGCCCAGCTCCTTCTTTTGAAAAGCTTTAGTCTTACTTATATGAGTATTTTTCCTGTGTGTGTGTGTCTGTGCTCCATCTGTGCAGCATATCTGCCACCATGTAGGTGCTGAGGCTCTAACCTAGGTCCTCTAAAAGAGTAGCAAGTACACAAGTGATCTTAACTCCTGAGCCATTTTTTTCTGGTCCCTCCAACCCCACCACCCTGGGATCTCACTGTGTAGTCCTGACTGTCCTGGGACTTGCTCTGTAGACTAGGCTGGCCTTGAACTCAGAGATCTGACTGCTCCTGCCTCCTGAATGCTGGGGTTAAAGGCACATACCACTACCGCCAATCTGTTTTGAGACAAAAACCAGATACAACCTTTCACCACTGAGTCTGGAGCTCACTCATTAGCTAGACTTGGTCATCAAGTCACTGAACTTCCTGTCTTTACTACTCAGTCCTGGGCTTGCAGGCACACCCTGTTCCTGCTGGAGATTCAAACTGAGGTCCTCTTGGTTCCACACCTAGCATTTTACCCACTGAACTGTCACTCCAACACTAATCATTTTTATTTTATTCTGTGTCTAGAAATGGCATGACTGTGTGTCTGTGTGTCTGTGTCTGTGTGTGTGTGGTGTCTGGTGCCCCCAGAGGCCAGAAGGTCATTGACCCCTGGAACTGGAATTGTGAGCCACCATATGGGGGTTGGGACTCTAACCTGGGACCTCTGGGAGAATAGCCAGTGCTCTTAACCACTATGCCATTTCTTTTCTTTTCTTTTCTTTTCTTTTCTTTTTTTTTTTTTTTTTTTTTGGTTTTTTGAGACAAGGTTTCCCTGGGGCTTTGGAGGCTGTCCTGGAACTAGCTCTTGTAGACCAGGCTGGACTCGAACTCACAGAGATCCCCCTGCCTCTGCCTCCTGAGTGCTGGGATTAAAGGCGTGCGCCACCACTGCCCGGCTCCCACTGTGCCATTTCTTGAGCCCAAGTTTCTTAACACCTTCTTCAGGGGACACCAAGCATGTCCTTACTGGCTCAGCTGATAACAGCTGTCGTCTCTGGGATTGTGAAACAGGTAAGCCTGGGCTATCCACTTTTCAACAAGAATTGACCAGCTTCAGTGTACCTGTCTAATTAAATATGTTTTGGAGAACTAGAGATAGATGGTTTCCAGTCTATAGATTCAGAGACCTCAAACAAAACAGCCAGGAAGTCACCTGAGGAAAGAAGCTTCATGTTTAAGATAATAAGCCATTCAACTTGAAAAATAAATAAAGGTTGGGAGTGATAATGAGCTATGTTCAAGGAAGGCCACAGAGGGACAGCGGACCTCCTGAGTGGGGAATGGGTGGCCTTGGGAGGTGGGAGCTGGGGCTTTCATTGACAGCAAAGTGCTTTGTCACAAGCAAGAATGAAAGCATGGAGTGTCCGATAAAAGGCTAGGACGAGCCGTGTGTGATGGTACACACCTTATCCCAGCACTGGGAGGCTGAGGCAGGAGAATGGAAAGTTTCAGGTAGCTTGGGGGTAGGGTAGATGAAACAGGAGGCTAGAGCCAGAAAAGCCTTGAGTGTGGAAGAGAAGACCTTAATTTCACATTCTGGGATCGGGGAAGTCATTGCCTTCACTCCTGATCTCAACAGGTTCCAATGGTCATACAGGTGGTCCTGCTTAAACTAAGGGGGTCACAAAACAAAACTAGAAGTCACGAACCTGGGAAATGGACTGATAGTGGTGGTGATGGGGACAAGAGGGAGAGTAATCGGGGTATATTATATACATATGTGAAATTCCCAGGCGACAAAATAATTAAAATACAAAACTGCCCGGCAGTGGTGGTGGCGCACACCTTTAATCCCAGCATTCAGGAGGCAGAGGCAGGTGAATTTCT